GGGAAAGCCAGGGGAGATGTCTTCTTTGGTGTTTGCTGAAGGGGCTCTCTAATCCCGGCTCCTTTCCTGGGCTGCAGGGATGGGCTGCTCCGGTGGCCCAAAGCAAAGACGGGCAGCAAGGAGAGCACACTGTGCTGGGTCTCTTAATTGCTGAGGGACAGACTGAACGCACACTGCCACAGACATGCTTTGGGGTTCATTTTACCACTGTCTGTAAATGCCAGCATGAGGAAACTGTTTCTAACCTGAAGGGCTTTTTAATTTAGCAGAGAGAGATGGAATAGGTAATTAAACTCTGGAGAACCTCTGCAGGGAGGTGCCAGATACTCCACCGCTTTGCTGAACACTCCACCACCGCCCCGGGCAGCTGATCTGATGCTGCTCTGAAGCAGGGCTGGTCCAGCTGTGTCCCACAGCAGGGCGAGAGGAGACTCTGACCAGGGTCCGGCTGCTGGGGAGGACGAGCTCTGCATTTCAGTCCTCAAAGGGCACTTATGAGAAAGATGGGGACAGACTTTTTAGCAGGGCCTGTAGCAATAGGACAAGGGGGAATGGCTTTAAACTGAAAGAGGGGAGATTCAGACTAGATAGAAGGAAGAAATTGTTTACGCTGAGGGTGGTGAGACACTGGCCCAGGTTGCCCAGAGAGGTGGTGGATGCCCCATCCCTGGAAACATTCCAGGTCAGGCTGGACGGGGCTCTGAGCAACCTGCTCTAGTTGCAGATGTCCCTGCCCACGGCAGGGGGGTTGGACTAGACGACCTTTAGAGGTCCCTTCCAACCCAAACCATTCTGTGATCCGATGATTCTATGGTTTCAAGGCAAATGCACCCCAGAAACAGGAGCAGCAGCTCCGGTTCCAGCCTGTAACAAAGCAAAGCAGGCAAACGTGCTGGATAAATATTTCTGTTGGTTGTTGCAGGCCAGGGGGAGGTTGTGGGCAATCATCACAAAAGAACCAGCAGCCTCTGATCCACCGATATCAATTTTTAATGATAAAGGTGGAATAATAGAGAAATCCCAGCACAGCAAAGAGTTCATACAGGGTGAACGGAGAGTCGGGCTAACCTGGCAGCCATCCTAGGAGAAGAATAGGAAAGCTTGTACAGGATTCAGTGAATAAGCAATTAAAAACCGGAGTGTAATCAATGACATTCAAGGTAGGTTTATGAGGAGATAGAACCTGTCAAAACAAGCTTGGTTTGCTTCTTTGGAGTCAGTTTGTTTGGTAACTGCGTGAAAGGAGCAGGTTCTTACAACATGTTTGGTTTAACACTGCCTGCTATCAGTGCTACACACAAGAGCAGATTAATGGAGAAATTCTAAAAATAGGACATCAGCTGAGAATCATCTTTGAATGACAGTGCGACGGTGCAATTTTGCTATTAAGCCCATGACTACTACATCAGTGACTGGGATGTAAAAATAACTTACAATCAAATTTTCAAATAATGTGAAGACTGACAGAGCAGTCAACCAGGAGAGAGCGGAGGAAGACATGCAGAGCAGTGGGGACCTTGGGATGTGCCCGAGCCAAACAAAAAGGGCACTCATGTGCCAAAAACACTTCCAAGAAGCAGCATCTGCACCTCAGGCTGGCAGAAAATGGACCCGACTTCCATGAACGCAGCAGCTCCGGAGAGCGCGGTGCACCAGCAGCCCAGCACGGTGAATAAACAACCAATTAATCCATAACTGCACGAACGGAGGAGGGATGGGGGAGAAGAGAGATGTGTTTCATCCTCAGTCTGCAGGGCTGGGGAGATGCAGGGCAGAAGTGGATGCATCCAGCCTGTGTCTGTACTTTAGAGGGAGGATGCTGAAAGTTGAACATAAGTGGGATAAAGAGTTGCGAAGACGATTTGAGATGGTAAAAACCACTGTGCCATGAGAGGTGCCAAGAGCGGTCTTCTCAAAAACAAGACTGAGAGGTGCTTTGACTACAAATGTGCAAGAGCTTTCCAGGGCAGAAAATACCCGGCAAGGAACGGGCAGAGATGCTCCTGGTTTCGTGTGCTCTAGACACCACGACGGGGGAGCCCAGCTGCCTCAGCTCAGACTCCCGAGTCCCTGGGAGAAGAACCACAGCGTGTGGGGGTTTCTTTGTACCGAGGGGGGACCAAATTGATGGAAGAAGCCAGTTCTCATGGGGCGTTGGAACCAGATTCCTGCTCGCTGCAGATCTGGTCATCCCTTAATGGTGAGAAATACAGTTAACAGCACTGCTCCGTTCATGCTGAAGATGGGGTTGCAGCGTGCAAGCATTAGCTGAGCTAGCTAAGATCACGGTGGAAGATAGAGAGGTGCAGGCTTCACCCCGGGCGGTGCGAGCCCATCCAGGACGCTGGGACGTGGCTGCAGCCTGCTCCCCTGCAGCATCAGCAATTGCTGCTCAAAGGTGAGGCTGCTCCTCTGCGGCAGCCCAGGCCCTCACGAGTCAAAGACAAACTGAGGAAGAAGTCCAAGGTGACGAAAATGATGCAACAAAAGGCCATCTTGGAAGTGGAGGTGGCTCTTATACAGCCAACCTCTTTGCATGTGCAGCGCGCCAATGGAAAAAAGGCACTTTAAGCAATCTGGCTGACCTAGCTGGATGTTTTCTTTTGTGTCGGGTATTTGGAAATTTCTAAGAGACTTTGGTCACCTTGAAGGTGGAAGGAATTACCCAAGTGATCACTTTCTCAGCCTCTAATCAATGCAAGCTGCTGATATGCCCTGGCCTTTCCAATTCCCAATTCCATGGAGGAACAGTGACGGTTCTTCATTTCCAGACACGGAAACACCACTTTGTGCTTTTTATTGCATCTTTCAAGTGGATTTTTTTTTCAGGTTTTAAGACAGATAGAGAAAGAAGGGATTGCTTCTTTGTGTGCACGGCATGCAGAATTGCTGTCCGGGAGGTAGACTGGGTACATCCTGACGTGCAGTTTGTTAGAGCAAAAGCATCCGATTCAGTTGGCATGTTTTCATTCCCTTCTGCTGGGTAATGAAGACATGAAGCTCCAAGTCACCATGGATGGAGGGATGCTCTGTCCCTTCATGTCGTCCAGCTGCCGGCTGCACTAAGCCTGTGCAAATGCACGGCAGTATCCAGGCTGCTTGCTCACACCAGGGGAGCAGAAAGTGAAGGAAGGCATTGAAGGAGCGTCCAGTCAAAGAAAAAACACTGCTGTCATGGACGCAACACGAAGAGCAGGTTCCAGAGGCTGGAGCTATGCTGCCTGGGGAAGGAGGTGGATCTCCAGGTCCCGCATTGGTCCATCTCGGGCTCCCATCGCCCATCTGCTGCCCACAGCCCCTGAGGAGTCCCTTCTCACATGGACCCTGGGACAGTTCAGGGCTGCAGAAACGATTCAGATCTCCTATTCCATGCGCCCATCACCCATGAACGTAGCGATCACTGCAACGGCACTACCTCAATGCAGGTGCCTACAGGAGGTGGTCTGAACACAACTCAAAGTGACTTGTACTACGTACGGCTCCTGCAGCAGAGCTGAGAGCTCCCCCCAAACCCTGGGCCCCCCTTC